ATAACGTAGTAACGTATAACCTATTAACCTTCGTTGTGGGGTGTGGACTGCCTGTGGGTGGGCGTTTTTCGTGTAGTGCGGTCGAGGATCGTTGAGGATCGTTGCTAAAAACTAATACTGGGCATTCGTGTCCGTCGAGAATACGGACAATCCTAACTATTCCGTGTCGCATGTTGACCAAAGTCGAAACTTGTTTGCAGATTTATGAGCTAACCTAGACGTGCTGTTGTGCCACCCCTTGAGGCTCTTAGAGTATTCCGGAAACGGGGGCCCCGTAATAGATAATTTAAGTAAGCAAAAGGAGATTTGGATCTTATATACTGCATTATCAAAGATTCGGATTAAAGATCTCTGGATCAGCAACGGTACTTGATATAGTGAGGCCCTAGCAAGCTATGTTCAACATTAGAGCTGAGAGGGAACATTATTTAAGGGCGCGCAAAATAAGATAGAAAACATCTGCGACCATGAAGATAGGGTAGAAATTGACATTTAAGGAACTACTAACCATAATCTGAGGCAGGTCGCGTGCTCTCGATATCTCACTTAATGCTTTATGAACGGTCTCACAATGCCTCGTCGCTCTTACAAATTTTCTACTGGATTATCACGAGGGGATGACAAGGGACGTACCATTCATACATCCAGACCGGACTCTGTATTCCCCTGGAATGATAGCTCGCCCATTTAAGGCGCAGGATCGAGTTGATGCCTAGCTCGTGTAAATTGGATGTAATAGGAGCCTACCAGGTAACTTCCAGTTCCAAGGATCACTATTAATCGAGATGTAACAAGTGACTGTATGGCCAAATGTTATGTGCGGCAGCAATGAACAAGAATACATTAGCTGACCGGTACATAATCCCGGCTAAGTATATAAACAAGTGGAGCTTCTCTACGCAATACATGATACTCACTCCTTACGTCCTCCCGTCGACTATAATCGTAGACTCCTCTTGGCAGCTCAACCATAATATGTCGTAGAAATTACTCTATGTTAGCATACTACTAGCAATCAATAAATATTGCAACCTGCAACTCTACTTTACTTACGACATCAACACACTCTAAGGACTCTCAACCGTCATACGACCCCCCTCATTCTCTTAGTCTCCAACATTACTCGCACGAGTGGCTCCACCTTCAACACTCCTCAAGGCCACACGCGCACTCTCCCGCTCGTCCCCCCCCCCATGGTCCCTCCCACACTCGCCTCACCCTTTGCTCCCTACTTTCCCTGCCCGTCCGCTCCGTTATCTGGTACCCTCCCATCCCTCCCTTCCCTCTCTTGTCCTCACGGGGCATAAACCACTTGGAAAACGCATATGACACAGCATTAGCGTCACGATTAATGCAGTTGAGAGTATGCGGGCAGAAAAGCTGAATGTAGGGTCTTCTGAGGTTTTCGCCGGATGTATGTGAGGTACCGGTATGAACGACTTTTGAGCTTTGTATTATGCTTTTATATACTCGAATTATGAAAATTTCGAAGTTCTATTGTTAGTTTCTTATAAAGTTATCCTAAATGTTAAGTATTCTTCTAAGTATATCTTTCAGAAAGCTGGCGAACAGGCAGGTCTCATTAAGAGTAACCGACTAAGTACTTTGAATGGCAATATAAATACATTACATTAATTAATAGATATGTCAAAATTCAAATCTTAATATTTTTAAAATTACAAGAAGTGTGTGAAAATTCATTTTCTCCAGTTTCTTTTGTAATGAAGGGAATTTTGATAATCAGGTAATAGTAATAGAATTTTAATTTCTTATCTCTGTCCCCTTTTAGCCGTGTTTTTACAATTCTTGGTTATTGTTTTACATACTATGTCTTTTAAGCAATTCAAAAAAATTAAAGGCAGTGTTTATAAACTGAAACTTCAGCAGTTATTTCCAGTTAGTAATTCCTTGTGTTTCAAAAGGTGAAATTTCAGCTCAGAATTTCAGTTTTGTAATAATAGTTATAAATCTTTTTTATGGATTTCCATATTATGTTGTTCCAAACATTTCAAGCATATTACAGCAAATTTCTGAAGCATATTCTATAAATTACCGAGAAGTTTTTAAAGATAATTCTATTCAATTGCGATTCCTGAATTCTTGGTATAGGCCTTTTTTTTTTATATATATTATAGTTCAGGTACAGATGGATAATAGTACAGATCTCTTCGTTCTCGCTTCTTAAATTTACTGCGATGCTATGGTGAAACTTGAGCAGAAGACTATAAGTTAACAGGCATAAAACTTAATAAAATTCGATTATTGGAATTGATAACAGAAAGTACAATGCTGTTACGATTAAAGCGATGTATTGAACACATAAGGTTGACAAATATATTAGTTTTGACCTAGGCAATATAAATCCTATTACGTGAACAGATTATTATGAGTTGATAGATATTAAATTACTTATAGTATAATGTCTAACGTATCGATTTTTATTTATATAATTTCTTTTTCCTGTATTATATCCTGTGAAAGTAGAATGTGGGATAATAGCTTTTGGCCGTTTCTTTCATTAGTCGCTAGCGCTATCGCTCATGAGCGCATGACAAAAAGTTAGACAGTGCGATGATTACACAAATAGATCGTCTCGTTTTTTGGTAGGGTGGCGGGCAGGTGAATAGTTCTTTTTTCACTTCTTGAATCAATATACTTTTGTAGTATTTCAAAAGTATTATCAATAAGGAGTTTAGCCTTTGTGTTGTGGTCGTTTTGATTTGCAGCCTAAGATTCATTAAATATCTATTTTAGATTGCATGATTTTCATCAGAATGAATAATTTTAATGGACATCGTAAACTCTATACATTTATTGAAACTATTTTGTTTCTCGTATATATAAGTCTAGGTATTATTAATCTCACCCCATCCTCTGATCAATCTTTTGGCCATACTATAAGCTGTTATTTCTATGCCTATATCTCTGATGACCATGAATACATTGAAATGTGCATTAATCTGGGGGGGGAGGGGGGGGGGGGGGGGGCGCATGCCTGATGTTCTGCTCAATAAACTATACGCTATACTTAGAAATAGAATTAAAGCTATAAGATTTAGCAATTCAAAATCTTCCACTCCAAGCATAATTAGTAGACTTCTTAATTCTTATAATTGGGAACAACGGTATTTCGCTATTCACTAGTAAGCTGTGAGTACATGATGATATTATGAAACTACCCGTTGATACGACAAGATGGGAGCATAGTATGTTTATAAATATCGGTTATAACTTTAAATAAGTCTTTGCCTTTTCTTTTTAGATTGCGGAAATAGCACGTTGACCCACTCCGTACCTGAGGGCTTTTGTAAGATCTCTTGAAAAGCTTGCTTCCAATAAAAAAGGAATAAAATTAAAAATTGATCATCGATCTAATCATAATACAACGACGGTCACAAGATTAATTGCTGTCTGTCTGCTGCCTATAAACTAAATTGTGACATAGGCATTTATTAGTGAAAATCGAATTTTTTTTATATATTATTTTACAACTAAAAGTTCTCCTTTTTCCAATATTTTTTTAGGTTTTATTCGAGGGGGATACAAAGCAATTAGATCAATTGGCTTCACTTATTGTAGGGCAGACTAGTTTTGCTAGACATGTATTGTGCTGGCTTAGCTTAACGGGGGGGCAATATTCCCCTATTCATCCGTAGCGCTGTTACCAGCGATATGTACGTCTGGGCCACCCTCCCTAGATAACATCAAAGGGTGAGTATGACATATACTTAGAAAGCGAGGCGCGCCATTCTATGTGACCAACACCAACGTCATCGACGTTAAGTTGGCAGCATATGGTTTCGCAGAGATAGGATGCATCGGGTGTGGTATTCATAATCTAGGCTAGTTAAGGTGGCCATAAAAGCGAGGATAATAAAATGAGATATATAGGGGTATGAAAATATATACATTTAGGATTGCTTCACATAACATCAATGCCTGAACTTGCGTTAGCTCTAAGTTAGACACCTCTATTGGTGCCGTACTCGATGAGTCTGTCATGATGAGTTAATTCATGATAAGCTGCGTATGGTAGAAACTAGCAGTCGATCATATCATATTCAAGCGTTCGGCCAATGTATTTTGATGATTGTCTCTATTGTTTGAATATCTTTGACAGTAAATGGTGTCATGCTTGAGCACCCTGCTGATTGTACTTTTTATATATTGTTTATTTACATTGCGCGAGATCTCACTACTCGCCGAGAAGAATCTGTTAAGCTCATCGAATGAATGCTAAGGTATACGTACGCACATAGAACTAAGCTAATGCTCGCTAAGTGATTCTGATTTGATGATAATGGTTTACCGCAATCTGAGCCTTGGAAAGAGCTTTCTACTGAACAGCCTACCCGTGACCCATGAAGCCTAACATGAGAATATCGTAGTTCACGATGAACTTGCCCTTGTTCCAACTAGTACCTCACGACAAAGAAAGAACCTGAAAAGGATAGAGACATCAATATACCACTGCCCTGAGGGGCTTCCACACACTAATCGAGGGATTTGCTAAAGTTAATTAATCTAGACTCGGTAAGATGCGATACCATCTGAGAGACTAGTAGTCACACAGCATCCTGAATCGTCTACTATGAAATTAATATGCGCGCGCCTCCAAATGAGAAATTAGAAGCCTACATAATTGCTAAGAATTAAATAGCCGCGTATAGGAGGACTATCTATGGGCACAAACAAAAAAAAAAAAAATTCAAGCGCTACTCAGACTAAAATGTAACACCAATGTAGCTACTAAACGACTTGAAAACACTACAAGAATAAAACGGTTGTTCTCTCCCAACAACCACGCCTCGCATCTGAAACATTCAGTAAACAAGAGGGTGGTATAAGTCCGCCGGGGTAACCTAACCATAGCGCACCTATCTGAGATGTTGTGAAGCAACCTCCCTCACGACAATAGCATTCATTCTAACAATGCATAACAGAAATATTGCACATCAAATAGAATAAGCACGAATAATAACACAACGTTGCACCCTCAGATTAGTTTAGAAGAGGCACATTCAACTGTCCCTGATACTAGAGAGACTAATCGACATCGTTGGGGACAGGGAGACGCCACACCGCTACCACAAATTTCAGTCGACAGATCAACGGTGATGGAGAACACAGAACATAAAAGAGAAGGTATACCAGACATACAATGCGCCTTAGATTCATTAAAAACCGACGATAGGGGACGAGTCTAAAGATCGCACAGATGAGTATGGACGATATAATGAAATTAAAGGAAAACATTCCATCCCGTCAACTTAAGTAATTCAGGATAGGTCAGTGAGTGCTAAAAGATTTTACATAGACGCAATTAACCGATGCGGCTAACGAAGGGCTACTAGTTGGTCCCTAGACTAGCCTTAAATAGTGAGAGCAATACACTCAATGCATGATCGGCATTTAAGACTAACAGACTGCCTAATCCCACTCTTCTATAAGACATTAAGTCTACCTATATCCCCCCCACACCCTACAGGTTACCCTTCAATAATGAGTATATTCCTGCTCTCTATAGTCTAAGTCGGACATTATCAAACTAAAAATAGTCTAAATATCACTGAGGCTACTCAATACGAATGTCAATTTTTGCTCGGGCCGTCGTAACGCACACATATCTTAGTGCTCATAAATATGGCTCAACTTTATTATAGTCACTCAGATCATCTAGTATTGTTTTTAGAAACAGTAATTCGAGATTAAACATGATTTGAAGATGGCGCAATATCTGGATAACCTTTGACTCCAATGATTTAATAAAGGAAGGTTTAGCTATACTATCAGGCTGATCGAGTCAAATTTCTTCAAAGTCATGTATTGCTAAAACCACAATGCATTTGAAGTAGATATTTCTTAAGTGAGGAGCTCCTAAGAATGGATCGACTCTGCGGGCATATTTTGTGATGAGAAATTATGTAAGATAATGTTCATCTAGTTTTGTAAAGTTTTCATTATTTAACAGTTAGTATTTATTCATAAAAAATGTCATTGCTGAGCAATATTTTTCTAAGTTTTCAAAAGTGTTCCAGAACAACAGATACTTTGCTAAAGAAAAAAAATCTGTGCAATGAAATATATTAAAATGTATCCATCTAAATGGACATTTAGATATCATGCATATCAAAATAACATCCACTTAAGTGGAAATCTAGATCTCATTTAACAGTGTTTTAAACATTATCAGAATTTTATTAATTTGTAAATGCAATATGAGGTTAAACTATGTAATGCGTTAATTATTTAGGTTGATAAATTAGCTGTTATAATGCTGTGTTCTTAATGGAGAAGCTCCTGAGCCATAATATAAAGATTATTGTTAAAATTATTAGTCATACTTAATTGCATACATGCAATACTATAAATAGTGTAAAAAAGTAAATAATTTCAATGTCTGTATTTTTATATTAAAAAGTATTAAATAATTTATGTTAATAAATATAACTGCCATAACAGGATTTTTCATCTAATTATCTCTGATACATTTAAAGAATTGCTAAAATTATGATCGTGAACCACTGCTTGAAGGTACAAAATTATAAGTTTCTTATTACATGTTGATAAACTTGCTTATAAGTTTGTAATATTATCTACATGCATTGTGCTTCCAAAAGTACAGATAATTTCAGTATTTGTATTCTACTTTGAAATCTTCTAAATGTTTGTAAGTTTTTTACCTTAAATTTAATAAAAAGACTTATGACTAGTAAAATGAACTGGTAACAAGAAATAAGACACAACTACCATGACTTCTTTTCATCAAAGAAGGGCAGAAGAGCTTATTTATTGTAATAAATGGACTAGTGATTTCTTTACTTTCTTTACTACTGTAAAAGAAAATAATGTAATTTATGAAAAGCATGTACTGGAGTAAAAGTAGTATTAAATATTTGATTCAGTATTCTCAAGTTACTATAAGAAATACTTAATAATTGTCCTTATCAGTTTTCCTTTAGTAAATCAATTTTTTTGGGTTAAACTTTGAAATTTTATAGTACTTAGTTTTTTTTTTTTTTTTTTTTTTTTTTTTTTTTTTTATTTTACTTAAGCTAGAAATTTCTTTTGTTGTAGTTTTGTTTTTATAGTTACATATTCGGTATATTTTATGGCATTGTAAACTTGCATTTTGAATCTGGCATATGAATTGATGTTAAACAAGGTATTACATTTTGTGAGATGAATGTTTCCCTTTTTCGTCAATTATTATTGATTTTAAGTATAGTCTGAGTCTTTTTTAAGTAATGTCTGAGTACTCTTTCATAATGATTTTTAATTTTTTGATAACTTTTTATAAAAGTAGATGCAAAGTTAAAATGTTAAAAAAAAATATTAAGAGACTGATATTTCCAAAAAGATTCTACAGTTGTTTTAGTTCAGTTAGTAATGATAATCATATGGTTTAAATTTGGAATGGATTTATTGTTAAAAACATGAAAGAAAGCATAATGTGTGGTAATGCTATGCATATGGTATTTATATAAAAATGTTTTTAAAGTACAAAATTGCTTGATTAATGAATAATTTGAAAGTATAAAGTTTTTTTTTTTTTTTTTTTTTTTTTTTTTTTTTTTCAATTCTGTGATATTTTAATAAGTACAACATATTAAAAGATACTGCTGTCATTTTTCTTTGCTAAATATTTTTGTAATTGTACATAATTCATGTTATCAAATTAAGTAATTTAATATGAAAATATTTCAATTTTGTTTCTACATATTTTTAAAATTTACTGTATTATGATGAAATATTCCTGTATTTTCTGTTAATGCTTCTTGCTTATATATGTATATTGTTTCAAACAAATTTCATTTTAAAAGGAATACATTGTTTGATATTTAAAATTGGATGATTTTTTCAGAAATTAAGAGCAGTCTAATTGGACGACTTTTCTTTTTCTTGTTTATAACCCTTTCCTTAAAATTTTTGTGTTTTATTTTTTCATTAATTTTTTTAGTGTGTTTTATAATAGTATTTACATATTGCCCACTACTAGGAACTTCATTTGGTGCTAAGGCATTGAAATTTTTGGAAATTGTGGTTAATGACTTTTATTTTTCCCTTAATTACATTAATGCACACTTTTCAAAGATATTTGAGTACTTACATATTATCTTGTCAACCATGAAAGTTGCCAGAAATCCCACCAAACATACCTGCCGCATTCTGAGCCACTTCTGAAATATTCTTTTTTTTTTTTTTTTTTGTGCACTTTGCAAACAGTTTTCAAAACATTTTGATTTTGTGCTTTGTAAAAAGGCTGTCATTGATTTCTATTATTTTGTTAGGCCCTTAGATTTTACTAGAAGCTTTGTCTAGAATGTTATAATTACATGCTTCCTACTGTTAATTGTTCCAGTCTATTGCTGTTTTTTCAGGCATATCCAAATGTTCTGTTCTATAAATAAAGGAATGCAGTCACAAATACGATTCTACAGCCCTTGGACTCCTTTTCTTCCTTCTAAAATGCAGGAGGAAAATATGACAATAACAGTTAATTTATATCCTTGTTTGTAAGAGCCAGAGGTGGCTTTTCGAGAATCAATCGGGGATTTATCAAACAAAAGCTAGATTTGAGAGTGAGCTGTAACATCATGCTTATCCATACCCGGTACTAAATCCGTAACTGCTTAGATACAATTTCACTGTAATATAAGTACCAATAGTTTTTCCAATGACTAAAGTTTTATCTTTCATATCCAACTTTTGGCAAACTTTAGCTGATGTTCTCCTTGCACTAATAATGAATAAACTATAAATATGATCTGTTTAATGTATCTCTTGTAAATATATACATATAAAAGTACTATAAAAGAGATTTGACATATTGTTATAATTTTTATTTTATGATCCTTTTTTTATATGCTAAAAATATATTTGTATGAACTGCCTTCATATGGGTTCCCTTTTCTTCTCCTAACCATTTCTCTATACATCCTGTATTGCTTTTTTACAATTTGTTTGTCATGGTAATTCATAATTTCATCCTAATAAAACAGTTGAGATTTTGTGAGTGTTCTCCAGTTCAGGGGTAGCTGATAATTTCAATTTTATTATTTGATAAAGCCCACAGATCCATGAAGAAATTAGCAAATGTGAAACATAGGAGGATAAAACAAGTGGAAGCTGATAAAACAGTATTCATCACATATTAAGAAGAATATCTGAAGTTTTATGACGCGGCTGCAAGAGGAAGGCAGACATTTATTGCAACATATTTCTATACCTCAACACCATCTGAAATTCCTAGTAGCAAATAAAAGAAAGTATCTCTGCAATTTTGTAGTCCGATGAAGTATGTAATTAGATTAAAATATGAATTAAGATAAACTGCTAATGTTAAGATTAATTAGTGATAGATTTACTCTGTATTTCTTAGCTGATTAGTGTTTGTATTATTATTATTGTGGTATATATAAAAAATATTGTTTTGATAATCTGTTTGAAAGTCATGTAGGAAATATATGTAACTAGAAGGAAAATGTAAATGTATTTAATGAAAATTTCACAGGTACCCATTGTGAAAGAAGTTCCAGAGTAATAAAAGCCCTTATGTGCCCTCAAAGAGATTTTTATTATTTTAATGAATAATACGAAAACTTTAATAAAACGCTTAATATAAACTTAAATAAAAAGACTAAAAGAGCTTTTCTATATCATTTTTTAATTCCTGGAAATTTAAGAGACAAAAAATATGATGTGCTGATTGTAATTAGTCATATTGAATTAGACAGTGAAAGTTAATTCTCTTGCGGTTTTTAAATTTGTGTTTCAGTTAATATATGCTAAGCTGAATATTAATTTTTTATTTGCTTATTTCTGTAAATGATTAAAGTGAGTGATTTGTATTGCCTTTAATTTGCATTTACTGTTGAATAGCTTCTTAGACATGATAAAGAATTTGTTATGATTTAAAGACTTATTATCTGTATCTGAAATTGCAGAGAAGTTTTGTTTTTGTTTAATATTCAAATATTTATATATCAGTATTATAAATTATGATATTTATACAATAAGTTAGCCTGAAATTTTGTTTAATGGAGCTTTTGTTTGATTGTAGAGAATGTGATTATTATTTATAAAAAAATTTTTTTCATTCATTGTATGACCATGCTTTGTAGCTGGTAATTAGATACAAATAG